CATTATATATATATATATATACACAATGGCCATCAAAATCAGTACGGAAGGATATCTAAATCTAGATATCTAGATCTACCTACAAATGATTAACTCCAGCGCAGAGTTTTGAATTCAGTTGAGGGTGCATAGAGTTTCGTTTGGATCTAGATCTAGATCTAATCTAGATCTAGGCTCGGCCAGAATAAAACGCGAGAAAGTAAACAATTGCCATCTCCGGCCCCACACACAGAGGGGCAAAGAGAGAGGCATGCGTTGTAGGGTTGGGTCAGGCTCGCAAAATTAGCGTCCGCGAGTAACGAACTACTCGTTGGCACTACCCGCAAACGAGCGGACGGGTAACGAACCGTCCGTTTGTGAAGAGTAGTTACTTATCGGAGAGAGACAACAGTTTGTTTAGCGAGCGAGCAGACAGGCGGACCGAAAGACTCCATGCATTCGAGCGGACGGACGGACGGGAGCGACTCCTTCCATTGCATACAACTTGCAACCCCCACCCCCCCAAAAAAAAAATTAAATTAAAAAATCACCCTCCTGCCTCACATTGTAGCTAGGCGTTCATGGCAGGAATTTCCGCCCCCCGGCCATTGAGATAATATAATTGGAACGTACACAGTGTGCCCCACACACGAGGTGAAAGGTTACACAAATAGTACTACATCACCAGCCTCTCTCACTCCCTGTGGCACCGCTAGTGGTTTGAAACATCAGGCGTAATTAACAAACAATAGACGACGGGTCTAATCTTGCGTTGAGTATTTCGTCTGCTAGAGTTTGTCCGTTCGCCCGCCCGCCCAATGAATAAAATTGTGGAGCGGACCCAAAAAACGAACTGACTTGAGGCTTGAGGTCCACAGTCCGCTCGCTGAGAGAGTCAAATTGTGGAGCGGACCCTAAAAACGAACTGTCTTGAGGTTCGCAGTTCGCTCTCATGGCCGTCCGTTACCCGTTCGCTCTGACTGAGTCCGCGAGTAACGAACCCGTCCGTCCACTCGACCCAACTCTAGTGCGTTGGAAGTTCACGAACGCAGAACACAGAGCACATACAGGCTAGATTTATGCTCTGAACTCTATGAACATTATATAAACACAATGGCCATCAAAATCAGTACGGAAGGCCTAAAGTTAAAGCCAGGATATCTAAAATCTAAATCTAGATATCCAGATCTACCTACACAAACGATTAACTCCAGCGCAGAGTTTTGAATCCAGTTGAGGGTGCATAGAGTTTCGTCTGGATCTAGATTCTAGATCTAATCTAGATCTAGAATCTAGGCTCGGCCGGAATAAAACGCGAGAAAGTAAACAATTGCCACCTCCGGCCGGCCCCACACACAGAGGGACAAAGAAAGAGGCGTGCGTCGGAAGTTCACGAACGCAGAACACTGAGCACATACAGGCTAGATCTAGATCTATATCACAAACACAAAAGAGCTCATTTACTCGGTGGCAATTGACGCTGGCGTCAACTGTCACCGCGTCACTCTGTGGCAATGGACACTGCCTTCAAATAAATAGCACGGGAGCTATTCAGAATGCGGCGTTGCAAATAGCGCCTGCCATTTTCATTAGATTAGATCTAGATATCTAGATCTAGATCTAGATCTAAATCTATATCTAGAATCTAGATTTCTAGTCAACAATGTCAACATCATAAAGTCTAAAGTTGATAAAGGAATCAATTTTACCGGGAGGACTTCCGTAACGAGCGACCACCCCAACCTACGCAACAAAGAAGGGACTTTTGAGTGGGATATCACGTAAAAGATAGGGTTAAGTATTTGGTCGGGCAATAAAGAAGGAAGTGGCTATTCTCATCCGGGGTGAGAATAGAAAAACGATCTACCTCTCACCCCGGGTGAGAATTGCCAGCGTAGGCTATTCTCACCCAGTGCGAAACAAGACCTGCTTTTCCTCATTTTGGAATACTGTCTATCGGTGTGGATGATCAAATTGATAAAAGCCAAGAAAAAATTACGTTATAGCACAAAAGTAAGCTAATTTGATCGTCTTCAAAGATGCTATGGCTATTTCACTGTTCGAATCGAGCCGAACTACGCGGGTCGCCATTTTGTTTTGCCTGGAAGTTCTCGCAAGATCTACTCCTCCCCGCCCTCTCTCTCTCTCTGTCTCTTTCTGAATACTGTCTATCGGTGTGGACGATCAAATTGACCAAAACAAAGTTAAAAAATGATGTTAAAACACAAAAGTAAATTAATATGGTTGTCTACAAAGTAGGCACTTGGATAAAAATTTCAAAGCTTTCAAATTGCTTTAAAAACAATACCAATGCAAAGAGCTCAGTGACACGATTCCAACGCTACCTTAGTTATTGCTCTATGTTGAACCGTTTTTGAGATATGGCATTTTAAAGATCTTTTCGAGGGGATAACATCTATATAGAAAAAAAAGGCAATTTTTGTGATCGAAACAGCAAGGACAACAAGGGAAATGTTAGCTGCTTCAATATGCTGCTGCGTACATGCAAAAACCAAACATTTTCTGAAACCTTGTGATGTTGAGGACAAAATAACAGTCAGACGAGATTTTTAAAATATGTCGTGGTGGGTAATATTGGGTAATATTATGTAACACTGTGTTGTGTAACGTGACCGCACCGTCCTGCGGTCAATATATTTTGCCATAACTTTCTTATAAATTAAGCTACATCAATAATTGAGGTATCGTTTTGAAGGTCTTTTTAAGGCCTTTCTTTTCGAACATCTACATATCAAATATCAGTAGAATTAACAAAAACCTGATTAAAAAATAAAATATATTTTAACAAAACAGCTGGTCGCCTAAAATAAGATGAGCATAGAAGTTTTTAAAGTTAACATTTGTGTCTACAGCTGCTGCAAACTAGTGTTTTTAGTCTACCTTAATTCATGATAATACTGTTTTTTAAATTCATTTTGCATGTTATTGTTAGAATGTTTCTTTCATGTTTTAATTTGTCATGTAAATGATCAATTACTCTGTCTTTATCTTTGATTTCTCTTTTACATCTTTAACTCATGAGATTGCCCTGTAAGTTAAACAATAGTCTCTTCTAATTTTATTACTTCAGTTTGTTCAGCAAGTTTTTCATTATATTTTTATTGTGTTTATTTAAATGTTCAACTTCTTCAAAGACAATTAGTTGTGAAATATGACATGTTTTTTGAAGCACGCAATTGTGTCACGATACTTATTTATTCTTTCTTTATTTCTGGCAATTGTTTAGTTCACCCAGTCTGCCAACTTGATATTGTTAAATTAATGTCAATTTTTTTTCCTTGTCTGCAACAAATGCTTTCTTAAGTGCTCAATTTTTTTGCAACTTGTTCAAACAAGTTTTTCTGTGAATTCGACCAACTCCGCAAGCATTTCTGGATTTTAATTAAAGTCAGGATTTATTCTGGTGAGCTGTCAATAAATCCAATGGAACAGTGGCAGGTTGTGATCAGGGGCTGTGGAAAGAAAAAAAAAAGCAAAGCAATGAATTCATCAATGAAGTAAATAAATTCATTTGTGAGCAGTGGATGGAAATTTGACATTTTCACACTACAACTCTAGTAAAGGGAGGGTGTAGATGACTAGACAAGAGAAAAAACATCTTCTAATAAACATGTAGATCTATCTTAAAACAAACTGGACAAAGTACATGATAATTTAAAGAGATATTTAAATAACAAGCACACACAAAAACAATTAAGAAGAAAAAATATTTAAAGACAATATAAGCACACAAAAGAAGTAAAAACTTGCGTGAAATGGATGGTCTAACAGTGACAGTAACACAGAAACAAAACAAGGCCAAGGCTGTTACATTTCCCTCCCCCCACCCAAGACTCCTTACTGATTGTTACATGGTTCAAATTCATAAGAACTATACAACAGTGATACATATTACATTCCAAAATTTAAAATAAATCATATCTTCTACTATAAAACATTCTTCAATGCCGTTTAAGAGGTAATAAACGCCAACAATACACGTTAGCGTGGGTTAAGTTCGCTTTCCGCAATGGCCGCCATGACCTCCCGGTTCACGCTCAGCAGCGCGATCGATAATAGGTCATGCCCATTCATGGAGAGTGACCTATTTAAATTAGGGCTCACACGCTTATGCCTCAACGTACAACATTGAAATTAACAAATAAAAGAGATAAAAGGTTGAAGAAAAGACTGTGAGGAGTACCTAAAAAAAAAAAGATATACTCTTTAAATATAAAGGCTTGAACTTACCTTATTTTTAACTCCTTGTAACTCCGAACACACACAACCGATCCCGAAGTGGAAAACGCCATAATACGCGCCTTTCTTTCCTCTTTAATTTGATAGGCGGAAGTAATCCATAAATTGAAAAGAACACTATAAACGAAACAAAACAAATAGGTACCCCCCTCACGGGGCCCGATTTCTGACACAAAACGCGGCGGCCGCAGGTGAACGAAAATCTCGGGCCGCGCGGGCCGATATCCAAGTGCCTATACAAAGATGCTATGGCTATTTAACTTTTCGAATCGAGCCGAACTACGCGGGTCGCCATTTTGTTTTGACTGGAAGTTCTCACGCTACTCCTCTCTCTCTCTCTCTTTCTCTAGTCTCTCTCCACTGCCCACAGACAAAATTGTACGCTTTTAGTAGGCTACAGTTGTAATGGAACGTTTGTTCACGGCACAGTTCTAGAATTCTACAATGTTTCTGTTATCACAGTGTAGAATTCTGTGGTTTAGGGTGAACGCAAAATTTGTTGGCCTAGATCTAGGCTATAACGGTGAACGCGCACCGGGTGAGAATAGCCAAAAGACTCGCCTGCACTATTCTCATCCCGGGTGAGAATAGAGGTGGCCATGCATAAAGAAAGTAAAGAAATTAGAAAGTAAACTGAGTTTGTGTTACTTTGAATTCCTCTTAACCTTCCTTTGTCTCTTCACCTGGAATGGGTATTATTAGTGACATGTTAACATCGTTACGGAATTCCTTCCCATCTGAATATAAAGAATCGAACATACCATTATCAGACGTTGATAACGAAAGATAAACTTAAAGCTCAATAAGTCAGGTCTGTTTTGGTTTCGTCAACAATCGTCTTCTCGCAAAACAGGATGTGGTGCAAGCCCTGCAGGCTGCCAGTTTTTTTTCTGGTGTGGGGCAAACAATATCACAATTTGGGGCCAAAATTGATTTTTTGGGGGCCAAACCATACTACCCCCCCCCCCTTCCAAAATTAATCGGATTTCGGCCATTGTATTTACACCCCCATCCCCCACCCCCCATCTTTGTGAATAAAATAAATACACATTCAACCAAATTAAATAACATTAGTAAATTATCAATAAGTATGATTGATTACGGTACGGTACCTGACCCTTTTCAGTCATCATTGCACGCTACTGCTCTTCCTGTCACTGTCAGTGGTCATGCCATGGTTCCTTCATGGGGACGACTCACTGAAGCAAGATCCTAACATGTTTGCGAACTGTCTTGACGCTAGAATCCTCTTCAAGATCCACAATGTAAACACGACTTTCTTGATCAGCCATTATTCCACGCAGCCGCTCTTGTTGTGGTTGCCTTCACTGCAAGGAGTTTAGAACTAACTGTAAACTCCTTGCTTCACTGTCAACCATTTGGGACTAATAAATGCTTTTTTTGTGTGTGGCAAAAATCTCGTTGCTTTTATTTTATTTCATTTATTTTCTTTCTTTTTTTTTTTGGGGGGGGGGGTGAAATCTAAAATGGGCCAAATTGGTGCCAACCGGGCCAAATATTTTTTGGGGGGCCAGTCATGATCCCAAAGAGCCAAATTTGAGCAATTTGGTTCCATTTGGGGCCAAACTGGCAGGGGTAGAATTCTGTGGATCCACCAAGCCGCACCACAACCACTCCAGCAGGCACTCCTTTCGTTTTTCAGGAAAATTGGATCACTGTAGGCCTATATGTCACGAGACCAAAAGTAAGAATTTTGATTGGCCTGTAGCACAGCAAGGGTTTCCCTAGATTACTATTTATAGAAACTTAGTGATTATTCCGTCTTGGGTGATATCCAAGACCCAAAAAAAATAGAATTTGAGGCAAATTCGGATAAGACGCGGAGGGTGACAACACCTTAACCTAACAGATGGTACTTATAAAAACAAAAACATTCAACAGTGCCACAAAAATAGTATACTATATATATTACATCTCCTCTGTTAAATTGAGGCCTCGGTAGCGCAGTAGGTAGCGCGTCAGTCTCATAATCACAAACAATCAGAGCGATCTGAAGGTCGTGAGTTCGATCCTCACCCGGGGCAATCTTTTTGAATAGTAATAATAGTTTATGCTATGTTGTTGATCTCTACCCCCACATCAAAAACAAAATTATTTCATTTTGATAATCGATATTTATTACTTAATTAATATAAGGCTTTGAAATTCTTACTCTCACGACATAGAGATCAGGGATAAATGATCTAACAAATAAGCCTAGGCCTACATAATAATAGTGTAATAGCCTGCCTAGAGTCTAGATCTACTCAACTTAGTTAACGTTTGCCTCTTTTGCACTCTATTTTCCAGTGTTCAAGTTCCAAGAAACGGAATCATTAATCATAATTAATTAGTATTGGTGAGCGCCTTCAGAATTATTAAGGACCTAATTACACCAAATTTAATAATATATAAAAGCGTACCATATTTTGATAGTATCGGATTGTTTTGTCATTATAATCATTATACTGGTTTGAGTTTATCATTGATCTTCCCAAGTTCCAGAGAGTAAAATGATGGGTGCTCATCAATAGGAGCTTAATTCCTAATTGGTGCTCATAAACTCTCTAGGTCTGTCTACCACAATAATAATAGTAGAGTTATTTCTCCTTTTTAAGGCATGATGCGGGAGAAATTTTGAAATTTGTTAATTATTTAAGAAGAAGAAACTGAGCTTGCAAATGTGGTAGCATCAACATAAATAGAGTGGAGAATTAGGTCATATTATAGTAAAATTTTGAAAATTCTTTTGTGTTGCTATGGTAACATCTGCAATATAGATATATTGGAATGTCATATAAAATGTACACATTTCTAGAAAATCTATCATATAAATCATTTTAAAATATTATAATAAGTGGTTTAATTTGCAGCCTTTTGTGGCTGTTTTAGAGGATGGATTTGGCATTTTGATGTAGGAGCACAAGCTTTTTCAGAATCGAGGTCCAAATTATATAGGGGAATATTTTTACCACCCAAATCTCAGATCATATCATAGCAAGGGATTAAATTTATAATAAAATCATTTATTCAAGATTTTTTGACGTCACTACTCACTGTAGAATAATGTTTCATGAAGATATCTTAATAACTTTTCGAATGATAGATTTTTTTGCGTTCCCATCCCCCTTGATTGTGTTCATTAAGAAATGTTATTTTGCTTAGGAACCATTGGCTTTGTGTTGTAATGCATGAAACCTTTGGGCATCGATTCTATTAAATTTAGGACATACATGTATTTATCTGTCATTTCATTTCAAATGTCACAGAGAGTTGCAAACAATTAAGGGTCGGAATTGGGGTTATTAAGGTCGTTTTTCTTCCGCCGCTGTTTCATATGGGACTTCACATACCTGTAGGATTCATATCGGGGCTGTTTACTGGTAGGTTATAACCACTCGAACGTTGACTTGATTTGGGTTTTTAAAAATTCTCTAGACTAATGTCATTGGTCTTACGATGAGAAAATGCCTTGTTTAGCATGGGGATGACTACTTGAATGACACCTTGACGAAAATAAGGGTAAGACACGACGTTCCAGCACTTGCGCGATGTAGTTCACTAAACCAGGGCATCCGGTGATTCTCACGAGGGGAGCTTATACAGTCGAACCTGCCTTAACGGAAACCTGTGTAAAACTGATACACCTGTCTTAACGGAAT